AGCCTACAAGAAAAGGAAAACACCAATGTTCCTGGCTGGCTTCATCCGCTGACTATAGCGACAGAAACATTCCTTCCTCTGTCTCCTGTGTGGGGAAGAAAGAGCGAAAAAAACAGTACACAGACTTGATAGACTTAGCTTTTTTATTTGGCAGGTCAGAGAGGTCCATGTTGTTGAAGGTTTGTAAGCACCACAGAGTCAGTGACGTGCCTGCTTGTTCGCGTCTGTGTCCCCACCTCGCATACCATAAACACTCAGGGATGTGTTGAATTACCGAAGCAATCAGCTCTCAGGTTCTTGGGGGAGTAGCGGTAGACCCCACAGAGATGGTGTTTGGGCCCGTTCTTGTGTGTGTAAACCTGCCCTCTCTCCAGGTGAGGTCTGAGACCTGCCAGGGGAGGGGACAGTTGTGATGACTGTTACCACCTCTGGTTGAGCTCCTGGCTGGAAGCTGCCAGTGTGTCCCTGTCTGAGGATTGGTCCAGATGCCACGTTGGAGGTGGGGAAGACTGGCCTGCCAGTAGCTGGCAGGCAGCCCTGGGAGAGCCATGTCTATGGCCCGCCCTGGCTTGTCCCCTCTTTGTCCTTCCTTACTGAGCCAGAGCTTGTGGGGCCGGTTATCTGTGTCCATGCAAATCCTCTGGGACTTGTGCATGGGGTCAAGTCACTAAAGGCACTTGCCCAGGCTCTAGGTTTCTAACTTAGCATCTGGGTGTCTGTCTGCAGGGGAGGCTTTCCAGAGACTCCCTGCACAGCCTCTGACTGGCTGGCATAGCAAGTGGGCCTGGCCCAGGACTAGCCACGTGTACGAGAACCCCCAGGTGCTGGAGCCCCGAGGTTTGGCTTGTCCCTGTGCTGCCATTTGCTGGCAGGGTGGCCTGGAGCAAGTAGCTTAGAACATCTGTGCCTTTGTTTCCCCATCCGTGACACGGGGATGGTGAGAGGCAACGCCTCACCGGGTTGTTCGGGGAGCCCCAGGTACAGTGCTTGGCTGAGAGTTGGGGAGCGGTGTGAAGCAGCCTATACTGGCCTTTGGTGTCTTGACTGTTGTTTGTAAGAAGGGACTGATGGTAGCGGATCACACTGAGCTCGTTCGAGACCACCGGCATCCAGGAGTCACGGGCTTAATCCCAGTCCAGCAGTTGGCTTTTTGCAGCTCTGTCTTCCAGACCTTGGTTTGTCGTCTGAAACAAGTCGTGAGAGTCAGCTGGCTCCTTTGTCAGCTGTGCAGGGCCTCTGCACACGTAGGGCTTAGCCTTTGCTTTCTTCTAACCAAGCAGCAGCCCCCGGGCAGGGGTGTTTCTGTGTCCCCTGGAGGATGGGCACAGAAGAACACAGGCATGCCCCCTTCTGCCAGGCCCAGACCCGGGTGTGCGTGTGTGGACGGAACTCCTGGAAGCCGGGCCGCGGCCCGACGCCTGCCCCACCGCCTTCCTGACGGCCTGCCTGTGCGGAATAGCTGCCGCCTCCTCTCACAATGAGGGCCTCTGTTCCCGGGCGCCTCTCACCGCGGGTGCCAGCTCAGTGCCCTGGGGCCTGCAAGCATCTGAGGTGAACACAGATGCCTCTTGTTGGCCGCCTGGAAACACAAACCAAACATTTGCCGAAATGGCTGTTGTCGTATAAGCTGACTAGGGCCAGGGGCGCTTGCACTCGCCAGGCAGGCAGAACAGAGGGGTAACGAGGCCTGCTCCTGACTTGGGGGGAGGAGGGCCGGCACCTCTGGGCCTCGGTTTCTCCATCTGTAAAGTGGCGGTGGTACATGTCTTGTGAGCCTGTGAGGGTCAGGGGAGGCGGCGCAGTGTTTGGGCCCTGAAAGCTGTAACAGCAGAGGGCCATCGTGCTGGGACAGCCCCGAGATCATCCAGAAGTCTTTGTGCTTTGTCACGTGTCTGTAGCCTCCCGGGATCATGAGCCCAGGGCCCCCCCTGGGGATTGGGAACCACACGGGGTAGCAGCCCCTCTGCACCCTGCATCCCTGCCCTTGTCTCCTTCCCTCCCCTCAGCCTCTCCCTGGCCCCAAGTCGTGGCTGGCTGCCAGCAGTGTGGAGGAACCAGGGACCAGGCGTAGCTTGGAAGGAGCATCCTGGACACCTTGATTCTGCTCTCTGTGCCTTGTTTCTTCAGAGTAGCGTGGCATCATGAGCAAACAGCAGACCTGGAGGACGCTCTGGGCCCCTCTCCACTCAGCTCCACGTGGTCCCAGACGGGGCCCCTACTCACTTCAGATGCATCCACAGCGGGGCCCAGGAAGCCGCCTTACATGCTGTGATTGTGCAGACATTATCCTGGTCTGAATCCTTGTAATCCTCCTGGCCTCTGCTTAAAGGGGTCCGCGTCCTGTACTGGAGATCCGGGCGGGTCTTGACTCCAGACCAGCCAGGAAGAGGCAGGACCTTAGGGGGAAGCCAGCAGCTGGACTGTCTGACTTGCAGAACATTGCGGGCCTCCCTTGTGGCCCAAGGCCACAGGCCCCTTGGGTCCCCTCTGGTCCCCATCGTATGGTCGCTGTCCACACCCTGGGTTTGTTTGTAGATAACTTGACCACAGCACGCCTCCTTTCTGGAGGTGTGGACAGCTGTGGTCCCTGCCTTATGGGTCACAGTGAAGGTGAGAAGGGGACAGCCAGGTGAGGTCCTCAGAGCGCTGCTGAGGACAGAAGCACCAACAGAAGGTCTTCCTGACTCCAAAGTTCACGCCTTTTTGTGACTCTGAGCTGCTTCGGTTTCTCTGTCCCCTGACCTTGTGTCAGTCCACCAGCCAGCCGTTCACCTAGCCAGCTGCCTGCAGGGCATGGGAGGGTTCGCGGAGGCTGTGCCAGGTGTAGCGGTAGGTTTGGGGCACACACAACTAGAGCGCCGAGAGTGCTGCACCCATTTAGCTGCGAGGGTTATACCATGCGGTGTGCGCTGCGTGGAGGGGGACGTTGTTCCTCAGCAGGGGGTCAGGGCTCACCGGGCGAAGGGCCAGCTCTCCTGAGTGGGGCACAGCGCCGGCCTGGCCCGTCCTGAAGATGGTCTCGTGGGGAAGGGGGTCCTGACGGTGGGAGCCGGACCCTGGTCCTTAACCGGCCGCTTGGCTCTGAGACGCTGGAGGGCTCTCCTTCACCTCCCTGTGCACCTGTTACTGCTCCCATTACCCGCCATCAGGGGTGTTGGGAGCATTAGAGCGGGAGTAGGGCCTGGGATGCTGCTGTCCCTGTCACAGGCAGGGACGGGACTTCAGGTCAGTCATGGTAAGTTCTGTAACACACATCGAAAGGGCAACACAACTTCAGAAGCCAGGCTGGGGGGAGGGAAGGAGCCTTCCTGAATAGGGAGGCATGACCCTTGACTGGGCCTTAAAGGATGAGCCCTTTCATCACACCAGAACTCTTGAAAGGCACCTGGGTCGTGAACGGACCATCTCACCTGCTGTGGAACCAAAAGGTAATGGGTAGGCTAAACCCTAGAGGTCCTTAACTCAGTCACCACCCCCACCACCAGCAGGACCCTGGCCCCCTCCAGCCCAGCTCCGAGTCTCACTTCCCTCAGACAGAATTCCTAGTTCATGTGTGAGGGCCTCTACCAAAAACCAAAGCAAACTCACTGCCATCGAGTCATCCGTCTCATAGCGACGCCTCCTTAGGTTTCCAAGGCAGTATCACTATGGAAGTAGATTGCCCAGTCTTCCTTCTAGGGAGTTGGCTGGTGGGTTTGAACCACCAGCCTTCTAGTTAACAATCAGATGCCTTAGGCACTATACCACCAGAGCTCCTGTGATGGCCTTGTTGTTGTTATGTGCTGTCGATTTGGGCCTGACTCATAGCGACCCCTCCTTGGGTTTCCAAGGCAGTATCACTATGGAAGTAGATTGCCCAACCTTCCTTCCAAGGAGTGGTTGGTGGGTTTGAACCACCAGCCTTCTGGTTAGCAGTCAAGTGCCTTAGGCACTATGCTCTCAGAGCTCCGTGATAGCCTCTAGGTCGAATTAATTGGGTTCCTTCATCCCACAGACTGGCAGGGGGGCATTTTCCCCTCTAAATGCAGGTATTTTGAGGGATTGTGTCTTTATCTTTTGCAGAAAAACCTCTAAATTAGAAGTGTTGCCATTTTAAATTGCAGATTGAGGAACTTAATGAGAAGGAATGAAGTGTTGTGTTTGCAGCTTTTGTTCTTTTTTATTTTTTTTGCTGCTGAATCATGGCGCTAGAGTTTATATATTTTCATTTTAGGTGAAATGATTTGCCTAATTAGGCCTGTCATTCATCACCACCTGTTCTCTTAGTTACATAGTTATATTATTAAGCTTGCAAGCGGATGGAGGAATTAATTCAGTGGAGAGTTAGGGTTCACTAGGATGCTACTAGGTTTTATCCAGTTTATCTGGTATGGAAACTGATCATTTTTTTCCCTGAAAGAACAAAACAGCTCCTTATGTTCCCTGATTCAGGATTTCACTGAGCACTGTATATGTTGCAGGCACGGTCCTAGGCACAAGGGGCAGGGCAAATACGGTGCAGGCCCTGCCCTTAGGGACTCCAGTCTAGTGAGAGCTAGACAAAGAAAGTGAGTACCATTAGGGTACCGTGGCCTGAGATGAAGATGAATCTGGGGAGGAGGTGCTATCAGGGAAGGCTTCCTGGAGAAGGTGACCTCTGAAGGGCAAGTGGAGTCAGTCAGATAGAGACTTTGGTTAAACCAAGAGGTGTCATAGCAGTTCTGCTGAAGCATGGGGCTGTGCAGGGGAAAGACTCTTTTAGGACTAGGTGCCTCTGGGGAGTTGGAAGGAAATGAATGTGTGTGGGTACAGTGGGCAGCAGGAAGGAGGCTGGCCAGGGAGCCATGGTGGGCCCCGGAGAGCCGTGTGGTCTCTGCTGAAGCACCTGGCTTCTCAGTGCCTGAAATGACTTCCTGCAAATCACAAAGCCCCATGTAGGACAAGAAACTCCTACCATGCACCACCCTGAAACCCTGAGCCGAGCTCCAGCTAACCATGCCGTCTTGCTCTCTCTCCCACAGCCCAGTTTAACGGCACCGAGAAGCGACAGGCCTCCCCCTCACCTTCCCGGGACCGGCGACGCCAGCTTCGAGCTCCTGGAGGAGGCTTCAAGCCCATCAAACATGGGAGCCCCGAGTTCTGTGGGATCCTGGGAGAAAGAGTGGACCCTGCTGTCCCCCTGGAGAAGCAGATGTGAGTGCCAACGGAACAGCTCAGCCTCCCTCTTGGTTCATCCAACCTCTGCACTTCCCTTTTTTGTCTTTTTCTTGGTTTTAAAATCCACAGACTCAGGGAGTTCAAGGGGCCTTTGCATCTGACCCCGTCACGTACAGATGGACAGGTTGAGGCTCACGGAGGGTCAGGTCCGCCACCCAGTCAGTGGGAGGCCCGGGATCGGAACTCGAGTCTCCCGATTCCTAGCCCTGAGCTCTCCCCCTCCACACTGCGCTCCTTCCCTTCCTTTGATGCTAGCAGTGGGGAGGGAAAACTGCCCACACAGCTCACCCTTGCTCCTGCATCCTGGTTTCTGACCTCCCTGTCTAGCCAGTGGATTTCTTACAAAGCCAAGTGTAAACTGAATCCCCTTACGGTGGCTATCTTTTCCAGCTAGAGAAGGTTCTGTCCTGTCTGCTGGATCGTAGTGGGCAAAGCCTGTACACTGCTGATAGGGGTCTCCCCAGCCCCTGTGCCGATCTTGGGCCCACTCAGTGGCCAGGTCCTGTCCATTCTGCCCAGTCTCACGACCCCCCAGCATTGTGCTGGGTCAGGCTCTTTCCTGCACACATACACTCCATCATGGCTATTACTCCTGTAAAGTCTTCATCTCTACCATCAACTGGGTTCAGAGTAGACAGGTCCCTGCCATGATCCCACAATTCAGGAACCTCTGAAACCTGCCATGGTTGCCCATCACCTCCAGGGCCAAGTGTAGTCTCCCCAGCCAGCCCTTTGCCCTGTGAAATCTACTTTGTCCCCCTCCACTTCTGCCGCATGATGACCTTCTACTCTTTAAGCAGCTGACACCTTTGGGCGTGTCATCCTCGTAACAAGCATGTGTATGACAAATAGCACCATCACCCTATTCCATAGCGGAGATGCTGGGGCTCAGAGAGATGCAGAGCCTTGGCCAGGATCACCCAGCTGAGTGCATACTCAAGACGTAGACCCCACATGCTCCCATTTTTTCCCCACCCTCAGCACACACCTGGTACAGAGCAGGTACTTCATAAAGCCACGGAGAAGGGCCGACTCCACGCTCTGTTCCAGGGACGCTTTCTCACCCTCTCTCGTACTGTATTGGTCCCTGCTGGGGTTCTGGTCCCAGCCTGGCATTGCATCCCCTCCCAGGACTGGCTCCATGAGTGGGACACGGCTTTCCAGAGGATGCCATGTGCCTGAGCCACGGTCTGGGGACACTCAGCCGCCCTCCGGAGGGCCCTGTGCCTGCTGTGCAGAGCGTGTGCCGGGGAGCGCTTGCAGCAGGTGTTGTGTTACTGACGTCTCACAGCCACGCAGACTGGGCGCCAGGTTTGCTTATCTCTCAACTGTGCACTTTCTCATCAACAAACAAAGTTAAGAGGCAAACATGCCTAGGCTGTTCTGAGCCTCCTGACCAGGCTTGGCCAGCCCCTCCACCCCTAAGCGCAGCCCTGAGTCCCGAGGGGCGGGGCCTCTTGAGGACACGCTTCCCTTTCCTAGGGCCGCCTAACCAGGCCCTCAGCCAAGTCCAGAGTCAGAATTGGCTTTCCTGCCCCCATCTTCTCATCTTCTGGATCATGCTGGCCTGCTGGAGGCCCTGACAGGTGTGATGAGATAAATCCATTTCCAGTGGACCCTGACGGCCCAAGTAGAGATCACCTGGCCCCCACCTGGGCTGAGGATGCTTCAGCGTTCAGGACCCCTTCCAGTAGGTGCTGGGAGCCGGCAGCACCGCAGATGCCGTGGTCTTAGGGGTGGTTGGGGATTGGAAGTCACACATCTGCCTGGGCGTCTGTGCTACCTGCCTTCCCCTTTGCTGCCCCTTCATCCTGCACCCTTATGGCTATCAGTGTGCAGACGTGTTCTAGTCACAAATGTCCTGACTGTAAATGAATAAAGATCATGTGTCCCCAGCCTCCCCTAGCTCTAGCTACTGTCCCTTTTGAGAACATAAGCTCTGAGGACAGGAACGTGTGTGGTTACCGCTGCACCCCCAGTGCCTGCAACAGCACCTGGCACATAGTAGGTGCTCAACGCTCGTTGTTGGCTGAGTTCGAGATCTCTGTGAGTTGACAGCCCTCCCTCACCTGCCACCCCTTCTTCCCTTCTCTGCCTGGGTCTCCAGGTGGCCGCCTCTAGGCACGTGCTGCTGCCTTCTCTCTCCTGACCCTTCCACTGCTGCTTGACCTGAGGTTTGACTTCCCAGGGCTCTGTTTCCAAGTCCATGCTCCTCCCAGTAGCCTCTGCAGTCTCCTGGTCCCCAGCCCACACATCTCCCAGAAGCCCCACTCCTGCATCCAGCTGCAGCGTGGCATCTCCATCTGACTGAGGGACAGGCATCTTGGCCTTACCAGGCTCCTGGTCTCCTCTCAGCCTGCTGCTCCCTCAGCTTCCCGGCTCCATCAACACCAGCGTGGCTGGCTAGCTGCGCAGCGGCCTCACACCCAGCATCGGGTGCATTACCAGGTTCTGCCAGATCTCCTCCAGAATACCGCCAGAACCTACCCGTCCCTCCCATCTCCATGGCCACCTCCCATATGGACCGCTCAGTCACTTCCTAAGCCAGAGGGTATTCTTGGTTCCCCTCTGGCCCTCTTTGGGGCATCCTGGTTGATCTGCTGTAAGATCATCCAGAGCAGGTAACATCTTTAGTTCAAACCATTGCCTTCTGTTATGTTTAGAATAAGATCCAAACATCTTCCCTTGGCCCAGAAGCCCCAGGTAACTGGACATGGCCTTCTAGATCGCCCTCATCCTAAACCACGCCCCATACTCAGTGCTCAGGCCACTCTTGCCACCCTTCTGCTCTGTGAACAACCCATCTCGCTCCTACTCCAGGACCTTTGCATGCACTGTTTCTATTATACACACACTTTTTCTTTGGCTCCTCATCATGCAGGTCTCGGGTCGAATGTCATCTCAGGGATCTCCCCCTGCTGTTTCTCCTAAAGTAGGTAACTCCTTCCAACCTATATCCAAAACCTGTTGTCATTAAGTTGATTCTGACTTAACAGCAATCATACAGGACAGTAGAATGGCCTCATAGATTTCCAAGGCTGTCACCTTTATGAGAGCAGACTGCCATGCCTTTCTCCCGCAGAGTGGCTGATAGGTTCAAACCCTGGACCTTTCAGTTCGCAGCTGAGTGCTTAACCATTGTGCCACCAAGGCTCCTTTCTCCTACCCTGCTTACTGCCTTGTCACCAGCCCTGTGTTCCTGCTCTGTACTACTGTCTGAAATGGTTTGTCTATTTGCTGAGTATCCGTCTCATGTCAGCCCCATGAGATCAGGAAGGCAGTACGCAGTCAGTAAATACTGAGTGAGCCCGTGGGTACTGCGTGGGACAGAAGACAGTGGTTGAGTCTCCCAGAGCCCTGGTTCTGACCGGCCAGCTCTGTGAGGGCCAAGGTCTCCCCATGGCCTCCCACCCAGGTTCTTTCCTCAGGCCAGGCAGAGCCTGCCCAGCCCAGCAGTTGACGCCTAGTCCCCACAGGACCACCCAAGGCTTCCTGGTCCTCACCTCCTGCTGACAGGTGGCCTGATCCAGTGCCCTTTGCCCTTCTCTCCTCACCGCCTGCTTGGCTCTTCTTTGATCCCTCTACCCCACGTCCCTGGCCTTCCCCCTCCATGCAAGGTAGCCAGAGCAGCCGAGGAAGGAACCAGCAGCTTATCCTGTTTACCTACCAGGGATTACCCTTAACAAGGCCCCAGGAGGCCCGCCCGCCGCCACCTCTGCTAGACTCGCCACTGATCCCAGGGCAGGGCGGGGCAGGGCAGGGCAGGGCAGGGCGGGCAGCACTTCCCTCAAGAGCACTTCTGGGCCTCTGCAGTGCAGCTTCCGACAGCTGACCTTGTTTTCCTTATAAACCGTTTTGCCAGCTCACTGGAAGTATGTCATGTGGTGAAATTTCCGGGGGGAGTCTCACCAAATCTCTTACTTCTAAAATCGGCTTTGTCTAACTATGTCTTGTGATCACAGCAACGTGTCCTTTCTAAAGCCTATCCCAGGCTTTCATGTCTCTGCAGTGGTTTGATTACACAGTAGCCCGTGCGGGCCCCGCAGTCACACTCCTCTCTCTTCCTGCATAGCTTCAGGAAGGCAGGTGGGTCCACGGCCTGCCTGTTCCCCCTGCCTTTGGTACCTTTCCCGGCAGACACCTACCTGTCCAGCCTGGCCTGCTGGGAAGTGGTCGGCAGCTCGGTCCCATTCTCTCATTGACTGGAAGGCAGCGCTGCACAGAGAGACTCAGATCTGTCCAGGCCTCTCCTTCAGGCTTTCTGAAGTTGGGTTTTTGTTTTTAGGTTATAATTACGTCATCAAGGAGCCCTACTGGCGCAGTGGTTAAAGCACTTGGCGCAAACCAAAAGTTGGCGGTTAGAGACCACCAACCACTCTGTGGGAGAAAGATGTGGCAGTCTGCTTCCGTAAAGCTGTACAGCCTTGGAAAATCGCCTGTGGGCAGTTCTCTGCCCTCCAAGGTCACTGAGTCGTGATGGCAGTGGTCTCTCAGTTACGTCACTGCCATGCTGCTACTTTGTTCTGAGTCCTCCTGTGAATGCGGACAGTGCACAGTGAGGGCGGGGCACCCTTGTTGTCTAGGCGACAGAACTCAGAGGGACCGTGGGAGGACACTCCTGGGCATGTCCCCACTCAAACCTAGAAATTTAAAACTCGGCCTCCGTGGTGGGCAGGGCCTGCAGTAATTATAAGATGGGGGGTGTCTATTTCTGCTAACGTCTGTAGCTGCTGCTTGTTGAAACTCAGCCCATAAAGGCTCTGCATAAACTCATCCATGTGTCATCTTATTTAATGCCACAACCCCAAGAAGGGCTGGAGCGATCCTAGCTGGAGAGAGAACCCGCCTAAGCCAGATTTAGCATTTTGTCCCAGACCCCTGCTGGGGTATGGGCAGAGGCAGGACCCAGAGCCATGGCTGGGCCTGACTGATGCCACGCAGTCCTCCACACTGTTCTCTTCCTGGCTCTGTCTCCCACCCACGTCACTGGCCTTTCCCTTCCGAGACCAGGGGGCAGGCAGACATGCATCATGAGCGGGCCCACTGACCTAATACTGTTTCCTACCTTTCCCATCTGAAAATCCAGTGTTCCCACTAGGTCTTGGGGTGCCCCTGTGCAGGCTCCCACTGGGCCTTTCCGTCTGGGAGCAGCGAGGCTGCAATTCTGTGTACTCAGCCTTTGCTCAGGAGTGCAGAGGTTACTTGCTACACCACCGGCCGGCGGTCCGGGTCACGGGCACTGCCTGTTGGCACCCTCTGCTGCCTTCCCAGCTCAGGATATCCTCACGTTGCGCACACGGCCCCGCTCCACCCCACTGGCCTTCCCCGCAGCCTCTGGGCCTTGCCTCCCACCCCTATTCCTTGCTGCCTGCCCCTCCACCCTGGCTTCTGGCAGTTTCCAAAGCGCACCAGGCACACTCCTGCCTCAGGGCCTGTGAACGTGATGCCTTTCCCAGCCACCCTCCATGACTTCCTCCCTGCTCCTCCAGGTAGAGGCTCAAACATCAGTTTCCAGGAAGCCTTCAAGGGCAGCCTGGTTGACCTGTAAGATCATCCAGAGCCAGTAACATTTTTATTGAAAACTCACCACCGCATTCCATTATGTTTAGAATAAGATCCCACAAAACCAAAGGCACTGCCACAAGTCAGTCTGACTCATCGTGATCCATAAGGCTTCCGGGGCTGTACACCTCACAGCTGTAGATTGCCTCATCTTCCTCCCACAGAGCAGCTGGTCGGCAGCCCAGTGACACCGTGCACCACCAGAGCGCCCTACACGCCCCCAGTAACCAGGCCACTTGTCCTGTGCCACCCCTCTGCTCACAGTGCTCCGGCCAGCTTGCTTCGCAGCAGCGGCCCCCAGCTCCGCGCGATAAAACCCAGCTTACAGATGGGAACGCCGCCTTGTTTCCTCCGCGCACTGAGCGCGGACACCGGCGGTTGCTCTGGCTCTTCTTTGCCTAGCATCTGGCCTGCGGCAGGCGCTCAGTCAGTCTGTGGGACGAACAAACAACGTCCCTCCATCAGGTCCCCGCTGGCTGGGTGCTGACCCTTCTCTGCCTTCTCCCCAGATGGTATCACGGAGCCATCAGCAGGGGCGACGCCGAGAGCCTCCTGCGACTCTGCAAGGAGTGCAGCTACCTGGTGCGGAACAGCCAGACGAGCAAGCACGACTACTCCCTGTCCCTGAAGTGAGTGCAGCGCGCGTCCTGCCCGCTGGGCGGCAGCATTTCCGGAGGGCCCGGAAACCAGCCGGCCTGGGTTTCCACTGTGGTCTTACCTACTGGGAATCCGGGGCGGGTTTGTGGTGGCGGTTTCTGCAGCCCCGGAAGAGGGGGGGCTCTGTCCCTAGGATTTCTTTCAAATGACCAGGAAGCGCTTTCGTGTCTGCTGGGAACGAGGGCTCGCGTAAAGTGCTCAGTGCTCCTAGCCCCTCGGAGTCATCACCACGGTCCTCTGATGAGGACTCCTTCGTCTCCATCTTGCAGCTGGGGAAACTGAGGCTAGAGAGGGGCCGCAACGGCGCAGCAGCACAGGCCAGCTGCCCCTGTCCCACTGTGCCACGCCGCCGTGCTGAGGGTGGCCTTGCCTTACGCGCTCACTTGCCGTGGGCAGGTCCGGGATCAGATTGTGAGCAACGCGGGTAGAGTCGGGCCGCTGTAGCTGTGCAAACCATGTGAACTGCCGAGACTTTGGGACCCACCAGGCACTGCTGTCAGGATGGGCGGCCCCCGATTGGAAGAGAGTTTCTGGGGTGTTTTGTCCAGCGCTGTCACTGGACGGACCGTCCACAGCCCATTTTACGGATAGGAAAACTGAGGCCAGGAGAGAGACGCGATCTCCCAGGCCCTCCACCAGGAACAGTGGGCCCTCTCCCCGGTTTTCTTTGTGTTTTTCCTACCACTCGTAGAGGCCACGTGAGGGAGAGACTCCGTGTACCTGACAGCTGTGTGAACTGTGGGATCGGTGTAGCCAGGGACCCAGAGATGGGGGAGTTGGCCTGCTCTCTTGCTTAAGTCCAACCCCAGTCATCTGCTGGACTCACCCTGAGAGGAACAATGACATGCTGTAAGGATGGGCAGAGGCCAGGCCAACACAGAGGCACCTGGAGAAAGGACAGGGTAGTCCACAAATTCCTTAAGAACACTCTGGGGATAAAGGGAGCAGATACAGTTAGGGGTCACCAGATGAGGGAGGGACAGGCAGGCAGATTCCAGCTCAAGGAGAGCAAAGCCTTCTAACGGTTAGAGCTGTTAGAACTAGAAGAGCTGCCTTGAGAGGCAGTGAGTGTCTCCTCACTGGAAGGATGCAGCCAGAGGCTGGATAGCTGCCGCCTGAGGGAGGACGTGACCAGCTGGGAGGGCACTTGGGCTAAAAGCAGCAGCTCAGGCCCACTGGCACTTGCATCCTTCTCTGTCCACCATCAGACCAGGCACGTTGAAGCAGCAGGTCGCTTCTCCAAGCTGAGGGACGTTCAGTGTGCTGAGACGCACGCAGCTCAGGCCAGAGGCCGGACTGGAGGCAGCCCCAGCCACAGCCGAGGGTGATTAGACTGGGGAGGGGGTGGCCGTGCTGATGGGGGCAGTGAGTCCTTGACTTCCTGCTGCTCCAAGCAGCTCCCCTGTCCCACCACTGCTCACAGGTAGCCTTGCAGCCCAGGTGCCGACAGGGATAGGCTTTCCGATTCCCACTTCCTCTGTTCTGGGCTGAGAGAGGTAAAGGAGGCGGGTGACATCAGAGACAGGCTCCCATGACACCAGCCTGTCCCCAGATCTGGGCTTCCTTCGCTTTTGAGACACTTGGACATTTGCTGTGTCACGCTGGGTTCTGACTGTCTCCCTTTTGTCTCTGAGTTCCTCAGTGACTCTCCTCCAAGAAGTCCTGGCGTCTGGGGCTTGGCTCAGCACAGCCTCCCTAACAGGACTGAATACACAGGAGGGGGACAAGGGTACCCTGTGCCAAGCCTGGCACTCCGTGAGAGCCAGGGCCCCTCAGCTGCTCGAGCTTGCAGTCCACTCTCGGGGCGTACGGGGGCCCCCACGGTGACTCTGGCACAGCCCTGCCTGCAGGGACAGCTTGCTGAGCGCTTGGCGTGCCAGGGCCGAGTGCCAGCAAAGGGGCACGTGAGGAGTCACTGAGCAGCTACAAAGGAGCCATGCCAGGAATGTCCTGCGGGACCCTTCTGGGTCCCTGTCCCCTGTGCTCACAGCTGCCACCTCATAGTGGGGTCTCCGGGAGGATGTCGTGTCACAGTGCCAAGCACGTAGCTTGCACCCCTGGATGCTTTTCCCTAGGTAGCGGGACCGCCTTGGAGGGGGGGCAGCACCTTGGTTCTGTGTTTGCCGTGATGGTCTTACAGTTAGAGGCCCCTTGTTGGGTAAGCATCCGAGGCCTCACACCCAACCCGACTCCCTAGGCTTGTCACTGTCTGGAGCCTCAGCGTCTTTGTCTCTGTACTGGGATGACTGGGATCCCTCTGTGGTAGCCTGATCAGAGCAGTGTGAACACCACCTTGTATTTTTCCCTCCCTGCCCCTCATCCCCTGGGTTGGCTCCACAGTTTGATTGACAGCTGTGTCTAAGGACCTGTTGCCTGGAACCCTGTGCTGCCCCTCCTACTTACTACGTGGCCTTGGCCTCGGCTTGCACGTCTGCCCAGGGCGGATTGGAATGGGTGGTCACTCTGACATCAGGGAGTTCTCTGACTCCTCAACGTGCCACCCCTTTGTCCTTGCAGGGCTCCTAGTCCAGGGAGCAGGGGAGGGAGCCTGGGAGAGACCCCTGCACGGTCCTGTTGGGTCTGATTATCAGGAACAAGACCTTGGTACTGGTCTCACCCATGGGAAGGAGCTGGGAGTGGAGGAGTTAGTTGTATACACTTGGCCAGAGCCATTAGAGCGCCACGCCCACAGGCCAGAGGGGCAGCCTCCCCTGGGCTGCTGAGGGGAGGCGGCCTTGCCCACTGGCCTCAGTCGTCTTGACCACAGACAGAGCAGACCACAGACAGAGCAGCCCGGCATGTCGCCTTTGCCCAGGGTCAGCCTCAGCTCTGCCAGTCACCCTCTGAGGGGTGGGGATGGTATTCCGGTGCAGGTCTGCCTGGAGCAGATGGTATTGGAATTCCAGCTATGTGGCTGCTCCACCCTTGGCCTTTTGCTTGAACCTGGAGCCTCAAGTCCTGCTGTGAGGCATCTGGGGTGGAGAGGGCTTTGCGGGAATCAGCCTCAGGGGGCAGGGCCTCCCACCCTTCCTGCTTAGGCCATTGGTCAGAGCCCTCAGTGCCAGGCTATGGGCTGGGCATGGGGGAGACAGCCCCGGGGGCCTAGGGTTGGTGCGTGGGTGGGTGGTCCCTGCCATGGAGGGTCAGGAGAAGCTTCAGGGAGGAGGTACACTCAGACCTTAAAGAGAGGACAGTTTCCCCAGGCAGGGATGGCTGGGAGGTGTCTCGTAGGAGGGACCCAGGCCAAGCCTAAGGCGTGTGGAGACCCTACGTATCTGTCTCACTTTATAATTTAAGGGTGTGCCCTGGGAGAGCTGTACAGAGTGGCAAAGACGGGGATCGCCACCCTCTTCCCCTCTTGGGGTAGCAGAAACTGAACAGCCTGCTCCTGGTTGATAGCGGACCAAGGCTGGGGTGGACAGGGGCCATTGTTCCCCGGCCTGGAGTCGTCCCACCACCCCCAAGCCTTCCTAACTTTCAGTCAGAAGGTTCTCAGATGTCAGACCCTGGAGAAAAGTCCCTGTGCTGTACGGTGTGGAGACCGAGCCCCAGAGAGGACTTGTGATTGGCCTGTGGCTGCCTGGCTGACAGTAGGCTCTGTAGACATTAGAGACGGTGGCTGCTTCCCGCTGTGCCGGACAGACCAAACAAGGTGTAGGTTACTCTGCTAGGCTGGTGGAGGAAGTCGTGAGGTTCACTAGGTGAGTCCCACACACACACCGGGTGCTGGACACATACAGGTCCTGCACCTCGCAGCTTCCTTGAGCCTCTAGAAACCCACATGGAGTCTGCAGAGGGGACAGGGTGCTGGGCCCCATCAGGGAGCCTAGGGACTCACCAGGAGGTATCTGTGTTGTGCTGCACTGCTTGGGCAAGTGTCTTCCTCCTCAGGTCTATGGAATGAGGAGTTGGGGCTGAGTCTGTAAGCTAGCTTCCAGTTGCAAGGTTCCATCAGGGGGTCCTAGGAACCCTGGGGAGGGTGGGAAGGCACCATCTCCTCCTCCAGTAGGGGAGGAGGGACAAGACGGTTTGTCAGGAATGGGCCTCCACTCATCTAATTGCTTGATGGTGCCCCGTGCATACCCTGCTTGGAACCAGCAGGGTTGTGTTGGCTGCTGGGCACCCAGTCTTTGTCCAGCAGATACCTCCTGGGAGTGGGGGCTGGAAGGGCTGATGGGCTGCATTCCGGGGGGCACTGTGGTTGTGCTTGAGTTAAGGTGGTTTTTCTTTGCCCTCGTTGATTTATAGAGTAAAGGAGAGAGTTTTCAAACAGTAGGCATGGCTGGGTCTAGGCAGGCCAGGCGAGTGATTAATCTTGGTTTGTTGCAGCTGACAGCCAGGAGCAAGAAATAATAAAGGTTTGCAGGCGGGGAGGGGTGGGTTGGGCTGCCCACTCTCGTCCATCAGCAGGGAGCACAGACGCAACTTCCTTTGGCCTCTGAGTGTCCCCTTGTTGGGTCAGCATCTGACGCTGCAAACTCTTTAACAGCCTCATCATGGCCTATGGCCCCGCGGGTGAACCACACGGGTGCGCACAAGGCCAACGGCCTCAGAGCACAGCGGGGTCTGCACAGAGTTGCCGACTTCCCTGCCTGGCATGACCTCCAGGCCAGAATGTCTGGACTTCAGTTACCAGCCTCTTTCCCCAGCCCTGCCCCCAAGGGGCTGAGCAAGCCTCAGGGAAGGGCAGCGAGTGAGGAGGAGGGCACAGCTGCTGCCCAGTCCTGATCAGAGCCCCCTGGGGACCTGTGGGCCTGCCCCGTGGGCCGCCCGAGGACAGAGGAGGGAGGTGCTGCGACAGGAAGAGAGGTGGGGCTGGGCAGGCGGGCACAGACACAGACAGCTAGTCATTCAGTGGCAAGTGGCAGCAGGGCTGTTGGATGTCACATGGGAGGGGTGGAGGGGTGGAGGGTGGAGGGCCGAGGCAAGGCGGGGAGCAGAGTGAGAAGTCGTCCATGCTGAAGGAACAGCT